CGCCTAATGCCGCCCTAGTCTTGCCTCTAAAGGCGGGGGTTTAGAACGGCATCCATATCACATTTAGCACCTGTAGGCTCTCGAAAGCCGCCGACCCTCCTTTGTTGTGGAGAATTCGAAAGTGGAGAATTCGAAAGAGCTTCTCCCACAAGGCCGTGATGTGTTTGTCTCCGAGGGTTCTGCCGCGAGGGAGACCAGTGGTCTGGCACGGCAAGAGTCTCTGGATGACATTAGCGAGATTGTACTTCGCTTCACGGTTCAAGACAACCCGCGACTCCTTCCCCAAAGCTTCTCCGATTTTGCATAAATATGAAGCAATGTCCGCATCTTCTCCTACTGCGTTCCAGATCAGCATCATCCGTAGGTTGTTGTCGATAGTGTGACTGCAGGGGATGTGGCTGTGGTTGTGAGGGACTTGCTGGTTTGGCTGTCTGGTCGGCTGTGGTGTGGGGTTTACGGGGTAAATCCGACGTCGGAGCTCCTTGTGTTTGCTGGCGTTGTTCTTGTGATGCTCTTTGCTTTGCTGTCTCCGTCTCTCCAAGGCCTCGAGCTGTCGAGTCCCGTACCGCTTGGACGTCCTTCCAACTCAACTTAGTGGTGAACAAATTCGCCTGCTTGTCCTGCATCTTCTGCATTAAGCAGATTTACAATCAGTTAATGCATGCCTCTCTCTCTCTCTCTCCCTCCATGCGAGCGACCAGCGCCGCTGAAGGCATGGCAAAGTTGCAGGAGAACATAAGCCTTGTGGGCAAACGTGGCCAGGGGTTATGTGGCATAACCGCCATGCGATTTTTGGGGGCAGAGTGCCTCCTACCAAGGGAATTCCGGGTAGCCCCTGATGTGGCAGCATGGACAGCTAACAAAATGCTAACAAACTGACCAGCCACTGGTAGATGTCCTGGGCTACGCTCGCGGTTTCGCAGCCTGAGCTGCTTTAAATGTCTTCCAAACCAAGTGAGAAACCAACGCACCTGAGAAAGCTCGAAACATGTTGGGTAGCTAGAAATACTCAAGGCCATCCCTCCGGACCTGGCAAAGATTGGCAAACCAAACCCAAACTGAGTCGCGTAGTCGCAGGCCGGCCATCCAACCTTCCGGACAAGTGGCTTGGGAGCCACATTTTCGCCGACATATTTCCAGGGGAATGCGCTTGCATGACCGATATCGCGTCGGCCCGTGGGTCTAGCTTCTATGAGCCTTCTACGTCACGTGTCGCTGGCTCTCAAGCTCAACAGAGTTGCCTTGAAGCGTAGGCAAAGGTATGGAGCCATCGCATACCATCCAACATGCAATGCTGTCCTGCTTTGAAACCACTTTTGCCAAAGGAGCTCCAGTATCCCAGGAGGAACCAGGCAGCCCAGGTTGATGGAGGCAGCTTCTCGTCACTCTCGCCGGTTAGACCGAAATCCACAACTTGGCTGCAAAAACAAATTGAGGCGGTCAATGTCCACGCCCACTTCGCCAAATTCTTGCGCTACTTCCCGAGATTGACTGATTGTATGGAACTTGGGGAAAAGGCCTTGCTTCATCTTTCTGCATGGCAGGCTGCTTGGAAGACCGTACCATACACTAATGTCGGATCCCAATTAGCGTGGGGTTCCTTAATTGTGAAAAGCTTCGCCGAAATTATTCAGCAGCCCCCTGTTCGTTTGGGGTGCCTTCATTGTGCGAAGTTGCGAGGCCAACAAAAAACTGATTCTGATAATAATTTAAGAGAAACCCTTCTAAATGCTTTCTAAAACCGATCCTGATCCCTCCTATTGAACTTGACTAAAACCCTAAAAACCAAATATTGTTTGGGGGGTACCGCCCCCAGCTCCACAAATTGTGGACCCTTTTCTGTTTGGGGGCCCCGCCTACACTCTACACTAACCAGGACCCAACATTAAGATAATCGTAGAACGTCGTACAATCATTTCCATGGCTTTCGTGGCAGAGGCTCGCATGCCCACTAGAAACATGATGATGTAGAGAAGGGCACAGCTGACGATGGCATGTGCACTGCTTTGGTGCTTGGCCTTGCCCGGCGTTCTGGCAAACTTGAATCAACAGCAGTCCGAAAAGCTTCTATAGTTGGCGAGCAGCCGAATATCCGGTACTTATCACATCTGATCACGCTAACGCCCACTGCCGCTGACTGATCAAAGAAAACGGAAGCATGAGCACTTGCAGATGTGATTCCGCGATGCACTGATGCGGTGCTCAGGTACTGACATCATCTTGCTTCCCCTTCTCCAGGAAGCACCAGACTTTTTGCATGTATGCAGCAGCAGCCCAAATGAGTGTATGATTGGGCTTGAGGTAAGCAGATTACGCCGGAATGTTCTGTTTGAGTCTGAGCCTACTCATCTCACGCTATGGACCCCTTTGAATGCAATGCCTCCAGCTAGTTGCCAACTCAGAGGTCATGTCGTGCCCAGTTTTGACTGATCGAAAAGGGCTGCAGATGGACACTGCGCACGTCAAGAAGCCCACTCCTACTGATCACTGACCGCCTCACACCTGTACAAGCACAACACAGGCACGCAGGATCAAACTACGTGCCTCCCGAGCCCCACCCGAGCCACTTCGCGCTGAATTTGGCGAAGGCATGTTCACACCTTGCACACCATGAGATGGCTTACAGCCTTGAAAAGGCTTACATGAATTTTCTTTTCAGTCGAACAAGAGAACCTGTAATGGTTAATTATTGCCCAAACACCTGGTCTGGGAAGAAAATGGAGCAGGAGTTTTGCAACCTTTCTTGAGCTCAGTCTTAGGTCAAAGACGAAATGTGGAGCTGAGGCAGCTGCCCGGCGGCGGCGGCGGCGCAGGCGGTCTTGACACCTGCCCATGGGAGATGCTGCTCGTAATAACATAATAAATCATCATCTTGCTTGCCACAAACATCACTGCACAGTACCCTGCAGTCCTGTCACTTGCGACATATCTCACGACGCAGCTCTGATCGAGTAAAACTGGTTCTTGGGACGCAGCTCTGCAGGACATTCGGGAAATTGGAAGATCATAGGGGGTGATGCCCTCAGCTGAGCTTTACACGATTTGCATTGCACTACCCTAGATGCCAACGTTATCCAACGTCAACAACTCCTCGAGAGTGGAAAAGATCTGATGGACGGTTCGGAGCTGATGGTTCAAGACGTATGAGGGTACCCTCTCTTCGTCCCCAGGCTTCTGACTCGACTTAGCTACAGTCGCGAGAAGCACTTCCAGAGTTACGTCGCATCGTCATGCCCCGCCAAAGGCCTGAACCCAGAAAGGCCTGGAGCTGTGGAAACCTATCACCGCTTTAGCTGTAATTTCCGGCTGCTCCAGCATCAAAGTGCAGCAGGAGTCCCAGCTGCACATCACAAGACAGGAACCTGATCTTCTGAATGCCTCAGCATGCCTCAGTCCAGACTGCATGCTGAAGCAAATTTGCCTGCGGCGAGAAATCCGGCGGCAGGCTGTGCCCGCGAGAGGAAGCCAGGTCTCGATTCGGTCCTGTGGAACGACAAATGCTCTGGAAAGCAGGGTAGCCAAATGGGCTTAATACTTGAAGGCGGTCGAGGACGTGGGTTGGATCAGAGAGTCTGTCAGATGAGCAGATCTGCAGGAGACAGCTTGGAACTAATGCAAAGTTGACCTATCTGGTAGAATCACTGACCTTGCGAGGTGGAGTCATCCCGGAGTTCAGTCCGTTCTGCTTGAAATACAGCGTGTCGGCAGAGAGCATAGTTCTCATGTGCCAGGACCGCATCTGTATCATGCTGCAATTAGACAAGGCCACATGCGTCAACCCCTCAGCTTGAATGGGAGTAGGATTTGTTGCAAAGACGAGCACAAGAAGCCGAAAACAGAGGCTTGATTTCTACCTGAAGATCTTTCACTGCCCCTCGCAAGCACTGCCTGGCCTAGCAGCCTCCACCTCCGTCTACCCTCTTATCCTTTTTGCCGTCGACTTCCATCCCAGTGCATGCCAGTAAGGTTACCCTCCTGCAGCTGGGCTCAACTTCTCTCAGCTCGTTCAATCATGGCAAGAATGTGAAAAAATCTCATCCTCTCTTAATGTGTGGTGGTCCACATCCAGGTCACCTTGAGGGGAGGACGCGTCACTGGGTGATTCGACCGGGAGCTCCTGCTCTGACAGGATTGGCAGCCATGCCACGGCAACTCACTCATCCATCATACACCATACGGGCAGTTACGTAAAAGGCTGAACCGGCACGATGTGTGTAGGCAGCTTTGCAGATATGGGCCACAGGACACAAAATATCTTCGATCGGTCAGAAAAGTTAGGGTCAAGGTTGGGACTCTTGTAGGCATCTCATGTGTGGACGGTTGCGGTCAAGTGGCAGTGCCGACGTTATCGGACAGGTAGCCGCGAGAGGAAAGGTCCTGCAGACACTCATGACCATCAGAACATCCTAGCCGAAACGGATGTTTTACAGTATGGCGTGACGTGCCCGTCTAACAGCGTTGAAGGCGCAATTTCAAGGCAGGCCAGCACTAAGTCGTGGGACTTCACAACTAATATCACTACTCAAGGTTCCAAACACACCGCTACCATTCCAGTTTGTGCCAAGTACCGTAATGGTCGCACATCCTTCTCCAAGCACAGTACATGATGTTGCGCAAGCACATGCTGAGCATCCAGCCCCGAAGCGATGACGGTAGCCCTCCAGCTCTCGCCTCTGACCGGCGCGCTACATCATGTATGCTAGGATGCGAAGTGGGATACTCACTGAACCGTTTAGCTGCAGGTGTCGACGTGCTGAAGTCATGGCCTTGAGGTATCCTATCCAATGCACGTTGCGCCCCAGTTCCAGGCTCATGCTTGGCCAAACATAGCCAGCTGCCAAAACTTGACATGGCAGCTTTTCTCAGCATATTCTCTTTTGATCCTACTGTCGCTTGCTCTGGCGCTTGGCTTGCAGAACAGAGAGTCAAGCAAATGATGGCGGAAAGTCTTCCAAGGGACATCAAGGATTCTCAAGGCTGTAACTAGAAACTGAGCGACTGAAAGCCAATCCAAGGGGCCGGAGCAGTGCATTCTCTGACCGAAGATCCTGCAATACTCGCTGCTGCTCCTCAGAGAAGTGCATCAGCACACGGCATGATACAAGAAACGTCTAAGGCTGTGGCGTCCAGCTGCAAAATGGGAGTATTCTGGATGTTCATGGCCTATGCTCAGCATGAGGCGAGCAGTGTCGCGCAACTACGACCATGACAATCGCCACCACCATCACGAGCAGCAGCAGCAGCCGCAACAATAGCAACAACAGCAACAAGAACGACAACGACAACGACAACCACAACAACAACCGCCGCCACCGCCACTGCCACCACCACCGCCACCACCACCCCCCACCGCCACCACCACCCCCCACCCCCACTCCCACCCCCACCCCCACCTGCACCCCCAACCCCAAACCACAACCACAACTACCACAACAGCAGCAGCAGCAACAATCGCGCCCGCAGCGGCGGCGGTAGCAGCGGCGGCGGCGGTAGCAGCGGCGGAAGCAACAGCAACAGCAAATGCCTTTTGCGCGTAGTTCAACGAGTTGACCGACTCCTCCGCGAATGCCGATGCGGGAGAGATGCATGTCACCTGGGCGCAAGGTGAGCGAGATGAACTTACTGCACCATGTGCGAGGTCGCTTCATACTAGTGAAAAGGGAACCTCAATGCTGAAGCATGTTTACGTAGCGGCTTCCATGCTACAGCGGGGAGAGTGTGGATCGAATCATCGCTGCGGGATAGACACACGCTCTCAAATACTACGAGCGCGTATTGAACATCGAGCAGAGGACCATCAGGCATAAGGCTGAACCGCCAAAGCTGTCCTTCGGGCTTCAGGCAGATCATGGTTCCAACGTATCTAGGAGAGGCAAACGCGAGGTTTTGCATTAACTTTCCCGCAAGTATGCCTTTCCAAATTTTAGGATGGCAGACTGACTGAATCAACGGGACAATGTCTGACAGCCCCGGACCCTCCTGCAAGAGCTGCGTGAGCTTGGAGTTTCTGTACGGTATATGCCTCGCATGGATTTCCACGGGACAGTCGTCAAATGAGGGGACGGCATAAGAATATTTTACGTGTGTGGACTCATGTATACATGCGCACGCTGCCGGAGCAGAGTCCTATCAATCCCGTGTACTCCCGCTTGAAAACAGATCAATCAGATCAGATCTTGCATCTTAACCCCAATGCACACGTCGCACGCATCAAGAAGATCACCTCCAGATAAGAGCCACATGTCAAGTTCATTGGGGTTTAGCATCATCGCCTAGCAGGCCTAGCATCTGGTGCTCATGAAGAGGGACTAGAGGCAACCACCATTCCAAACCATTTAAGACGTAAACTGCGTGCCTGTGCATAGGCAGGCATCAAGCAACTACTTTGCAAAAGAAGTGCCACCGAGACTCATTTCTTTGATTCGCGTGTTACAAACCAAAACACGCAGTTGCAACACCGAAGCGACATCACCCTGCCATAGCGACAGTTTCTTCAAGAAATCCACTGGTCGTTGAGCCCATTCATCCCCATCCGACAGAAAAACCTCGTTCAAAGAGAGACCATCGGTCTACATCTTGTTGGGGTGCGCTTTGGGCTTTCGGGCCGAAGCTGCTAAGGTCACATCTGCCAAACATGGGGACGTCAAATTAACAGGGGTGTCCTAAGAAACCTCAATTACAGATATATCGGCATGACAGGCCATTGTGGACATCGTGGACTCCCTCTACGAACCAGAGTGGGCTTGTTTTGTAACTCTCAACTCAACCTGCTCATGCGCGTGATGCTGGTCCTTTGGTAAGGGCTCCTGAAATGCCGGCCCGCTGATGCTCATGATGCTGGCCCTTTGGTGGGTGGCCTGCTAAAATAACGGCCCACTGATGCGTGTAATGCTGGCCCTTTGGCGGGAAGGAGTTCTCGCTGTAAGATACTGGACACGCTGCGATGCAGCCATCACGCTACTCATTGGTGAATAAAGCATTTGTATCCAGCTAAGTAGTTTTTGAAATACACTCTTGAGATGACAACGGAAGCACAAATCACAAATCCTTCTGCATTGCATCGCATTGCCCTGAATGTTGGGTATTGTGGGCGTAGGTTGCAGCCTTTTAGCTAGCACCGCGGCCAATGATGAGACACATGTGGTATTATGATGTATTATGTCATTATGTGGCGTTCATGATTATCCGTGGAGACAGAGCACTTTGGCACTGCCGAGTGCCCTGTAAGACTGTAGAGCTGCCGGGATGGCCCTACTACAAATGTTCGCGGCAACAGCGCCTTTCTGCTTTGCCCTGAGACAGCTGCGAGATCACCTGTGCCGATGTGAAAGTGGAGGCATGACGGGACCCAGTCACTGCCAGCATGTGGATATGTCAGTTCATGACTCTGGCTCCCCAGCACACGCGAATGCCGCGGCTGCTACCCTAGGTCATTTTACGGCATGCCCAAAGTCGTATAGGCTTTGGCTTTGATGAACCCCGCTACATCTAGGCCTATCTAGGCCCGACAAGCGCTCCTGACAGACAAGGCGGAACTGCATCTGCGAACCCGCCTGCCCGAGGGTAAACAGGGACTTGTTGATGGCCTGCATACAAAATCAAAATCAGAATGCATGTTTAACATCAGCGCTTGCGCTTTATCTTGCACCATCGTTGGCCGCAGCTTGGTGGGAATCTCGGCTTGATGCAAAGGGATGGATGGCAGGAACGCACGGGATGACTTCAGCAGCATCAGGCTCGGCAGCTGGAAAATAGGCAAGGATACGTTACAAAGAATTCGGACAGACACAAATACCATGGCAACACGGATTGCAAGTAGGAATGCAACTGATAGCCGAAGGCGAAGATGCATGGATTGCAACGTTGATTGATTGCACTCGTATATGGCTTTGCCAGCTAACACGTTGAAACTTACGGTAAAACATGTTGAAAGCTGCTCAATGATTACTGTGCCCCTGCCGATATTGCCTAGCAGGCATTTGTATATATTTTTACTCTGCGTACTAGTACACAAAAGAGTCTTCGTTGGCTCGAGACTTCTGAGATGCACCCCTGCAAATCCCACAAGATTTGTTGCAACAGAAGCCGAGCTTGACGGAATACAGCTTAAGATCATGGCGCAGACTCTTACAAAAAGACACACCCACATAATGACCCTCATGCAATTGTGCAAATAGGAAACTGCATAAAGACTGTGCTGACTGTGCATCTTGCCGGCACACGCAAGCGTCTTTCATCCCCCTTCTGCGTGCACAAACTCCGGGCATGAACGGCGTGCTTTGAGCAGTGTGACATGGTTGCGTGTTGAATATCCGAACCGCTGCGGCATGCTGCGGCATGCTGCGGCGTAGATCCGGCTCTTTGGCCTGGAAATGGCTCTTTGGCTCTGAACACTAAAAGTTTCGGATGAGCAGAATCGACGGGCTGTTGGACAACCTTGCCAGGTCTGGCCAGTGAGTATGTTCAATGGCCTTACGCCAATCCTGCGAGCAGCAGAAGCGGTACAACTCTCCCAAAAGAATGCTCGATGCGCTGATCGCAGCTGCTTGATCACATGCCTGGCTGTTGCACCACACCAAGTCGACGCGACTCATAGCTCACTGCTTTGAGTGGTAGGACCACCTTTGCCGTTCTTGGACCGCGCAGCAACTCTGGTATCCTCAATCCCAAGTGCAGCCAGTCCCTGCAGCTAGATGATTTCACCCAGTCAGCATATCAACTCCACAATTGTATCAAGCTGTCCTCCAAGCCCCGTAGGAAGCGAGCAACCTCAAATGCAAAGCTTCCAGCCAAAGACAGACACCAGACTGGAACCGGAATGCTCGGGAAGTATTGGAAGTACAAAGCTGGGCCGACTCAAAACATGAGGATGTTTGACTGACACGCAAGTCTTGGATGCAGTTGCCACACCTCTGGCTTCAAACTTAGCACGGTCCCATATGCTCTCAGCCGACTCTGGATGAATTTGCAACCGTAGCAAGTGTCACTACAAACATTCGGCGCTAGTAAGCCTGACTGTGCCCCCCATATGCTTGCGCAATGAGCAGCGGCGTCAAGTCAAGGTTCTGAGCAAACCAGTCGCACGAAGCCAGGAACAAACGTGGGATCTCATTAGTAAGACAGCTGAGCAAATGACAGACACGTGCTGGTAGAACTCTGCATGGTCCGCCTTTGGGTCAGTCCCAGCATTGGATTTGCAGGTTGAGTCACTCCGCTACTCAAAACAGAACGCAACCTTCCAAGCAAGATGTTGGCGAGCTGCTGGTCGTCTTCCTCCAGCATCAAAGCGCGTCAAATCTGCCCGCCACTCAGCAAGCCTTTTGCCACAAGTATTTTCAGGCACTCGGCACGCTCCATTGTTACGCGGACTGCATGAAGAATGTGAGACATCGGCCATTGGTACTGCAGAAGCTTAACCCTTTTGCCAAGATGCTTCTTCAACACTGACAGATGCCCCTTGCTGGCTGCATGGATGGTCGCCGCCTCATAGCCTGCACAGAAAGTTGCCTGTATGTTGTGAGTGGCCAACATCACCTGAAGCTCTGATATTGTGGAGGCTGTCTGTGTAAAAAGAAAACCTAACCCAACCTAAATGAAACGGGGAAGTAGAGTTTCCATACCGCCTTGCGCTGACTTTGGCGCATGGTGCCGAAGCAGGGCTTCTAACCTTGCAAGGCTTGGGTGTAACTCAGACCTCCACTCTTGTCGGGGAGCGGTAGCATCTCTCTTTTCTACAAATACGTACAGGTGAGGTCTCTGAGCTCACAAACATCCTAATGATCTCTCCCACTCCGAGCTTTTCCTGATCCGGTCAAGGCACAGGGATGGGTAGCCACCGTCTGCTGCTGAGGCGAAGGGGGCCAGGCGTCGCCTTACGTGTCAAACTGACTTTAGCCGAAAGCAATGAGGACAACTCCAGCAAGGATGGAGCTGAGACCCCTGGCCAGAGTACAGCATTGTGACTGACGAGACAAGCTTGTAAACCTCCCTACAAACTTATCTGAATGCCAACCTAAGACAGGGTCATGACGAAACCAATCGATGGCATTTTCTGGTCTGTCTCTTTGGTGCATGTCTTCAACCGTCTCATAGATCTGGGGGCAGTCATCGGATGGTGGTGGCAATTTGTGCAGGGCTGGCAGTCAATTAAGGCAATGATTTGCTGCCTGTTTAAAGGGGTCTTCAGATGGCCTTGAGGCCTGCAACTTCCTTTCTTGTTGAGCGTTGCCGCTCCCTCTGCGTTCGGCAATGCATGCTGCAAAGCAGTCAGTCCTTCGGCCTGCTTGCTGGTGGCATCGTTTGGTTTGCTTGGTCTTGGTTTCTACATTCAGTGACCTGGGATCTCTTACTGTGCCTGGTGCTTGGGATACCCCTGGCCTCGCGCCCTGGCCTCGCGTCTCAGGGTTAGTCAGTTGGGGCCAGCACCCCCTCATTAGCAGCAGAAATCTATCTTGCTACCCCAATTACCTAACTTGACATGATTTCGGGGACGGGAAAGCTTCTGTGCCGACCCTGCGGCCAGGTCTGCTTGTGCTGTACTGTTGATATGACCCGCTCCTAGGGGAAAACAGAAAAGGGGGTGTGGTAACCTTGCTGTACTTGGGCTCGATGCCGACCGCTTTTGTCTCAAGCTGCCCCACCAAAAATGTACAGAAGTCACCCGCTTCCCCGACACGAGCAAGCCAGCTGCTGCAAACGCAAGTATGTGAATTGAGTTCCGGTTGATTTAGCGCATGCGAGGTGCGAACAAGAAAACATGGAGCCCCCAAGGCAACAGAAGCAGGCATGAGCGTTCACGAGTATCCCAAAAAAGGCTTGGCTAGGGCCAGGGCAGGCCTGAGCCCGCGTCCGGCGGAGTACGCAAAATTGCTACCATGTACATTGTACATCCTCAAAAGGGTTCGTTCTTGGCTGAAGGAAGCTCTCAACACAAATTAGTGCTGCTCCTGGTCTGGTTATCTGTTCCATTTCATTTCAGACCATCACTGCCCACATAGAAAGCCGATACCTTTGATTGGAAGTGGTTTCCCAAATCCCAAGAAAGGGCAGTATCGGTCGACCGCAGTACAAGGAACCAGCGCTGAATCATGTTATATGGAGAATGCAAGAAACGTGCTCGGTGCCTGAGTAAACGTGCGTCATGGTCATAAGTCATGAATTAGTACTAGAGAAAATACATGGAGTTGTATGTCAGAATCTGCTCTCGCCGAACAGCTTCTTAACTCTTATAGTTGTTCCATTTGGACGTTATCTGTTTTTGTTACTCTTATCAAAACATGGCCTGCAGTTGGGCACGTGGCATGTAGAATGCGCGGGATTATTATACAACCTCACACAACTTTGCAAAAAAAAGCCTGGAAGATAGCATGCAGAAAAATGCATTGGCCGTCAAGATCATCCGGTTTCTTGTGAAGCAGACGGGGTGCATCCTGTGGGGAGGGGGCACATAGCTTTCTGGATGTCTTGCACAATTTCTTCATCCGACCTGCAGCATGCCCACATCATCTGTTGTAAAGTGGTGCAAAGGAGCGGCTGAGGCTTGACCCTACCTACCCTTTTCTGGTCAAGCAGTGCGGTGCTAAAATGGCATCCGTCCCGCAAGGTCATCTATGGCACCAACCACTAAGAAGGCTAGGTGCGGACCTGCTCCAATCACAGCCTGGCACCAGGTCCTGAAAAAAGTAGGAGTGGCCAGTCCTTCAAGTACTGATGTGCTTAAGCCCAGACTGGTATCCTGTAGAGCACTGATCGTTCTTCTGATCCAGGAGGTTTTAGATCAGACCAATTCCCTGAGCCCACGGCCCACATACCCTATCTATCAGTGCCTCCAACCCACATCTGCTGAGTCTACGTGCACATAGGCCAATGTCTAGACAGGTCACTCATCCAAGGCTTTCAACGAAGCGCGCTTCTCGACCCTTGGCAGGTCTGGTTAGCGCCCAATGCAGGAGTTTGCTTTGCACACAATTAAAAACTGATGGAGGTAGAACACGGGACAATCTTCAGCTCTCTGACTGCAACGCTGCAACCTGGATGTCTGTCAAAGTGCAGTTGAAGTCCTTTGTTCGGCAACCAGGCGGCAGAAGATCCACAACTGGAGCCGCATCGTTGTAGGCAGCGTGGTGCAGAGGCTGTTTGCCTTCCATATCCCGCCTGAGGTTGATGCAACTCATTCAAGATGTCCCGAAACCGCAGTTTACTGTTGAACCCTCGCCAGCGTGGCTTTGTCAATCGACTCTCCGCGCTTACATCAAATGATGCGGCGACCCGCCGCAACAGATTCAGGAGCTTGACCATAAAAAAGCGCAGTCAAGCATTGGGCCGGTGTACATGTCATGCCTTCCAAGCCATGCCATCCGTCTAAAACAAACCTTAGAGCGAAAGTGGGCCGAGCTACGCCCGAATGTCTGCTCGTCGCTCAAGCAGCAGACGCCTTGGTCTCTTCTACTGGATTCTGCCTACAAGTAACTGATCTTACACCGCGTAGTGCTGCTGTGCCACTGGCAGATCTCCCAGGCCAGGACACACACGCAGATTTAGCTACATCAAGCTTGGCAGGACGCGACTTGCATTCTGAGCCACATCATGAGGGCTCTTGACTTATTCAATACCACCTTGCCAGGGTTCCGGATGGCTTTGATTCTGAGGTGTCGGCGCCACCTCCAGCTGGCCGTTCCTTGAATGTACGGCATCCTGCTTGTTCTTCACCGGAGCAAGGTGTGAAACCAAAGTTTTACATGCTGGCCAAGCGGCTCCGCTGCGCTGTGCAGTGGCAGCTTCCCATCCTCTCAGGGCTTTTTCAGGTCGCAGACTTCAATCCGAGTGGCAAGTGCGCCCGCATCCTCGAAGGGTGACTGCAGATCAGCACGCCTTGGCGGGTCTCTTCCTGATGAACACTCACGAATGCTTACTAGGACCATCAAACCAAGTGCATCAGAATGAGGTAAGGATTTCTCAAACGCCTGGGCCCGTTAGATAGATCCCACCATACACAACGGATTGGATTCAGCAGCCCGTCAAACCTACATCTTCCATGACTGGTAATCGGGCGAGAGACAAGTCAGCAAGCAGCGCCACCAACCCGGTGTAGCCATACCTAGAAGCTCTGCAAGCTTCGAGGACTTCGGCTGCGTGCTCAGGATTGAGTTGGAATCTCAAGCATGAATCAAGACAAAACCTTTCCAAGGTGCTCGGTTGCATGGCTGAGCCCTCTTTGGAGACGTGCAACCGAACTCTTCTGCTTCTCGTTGGCCTCATAGCTTGGCATGGCTTGATTTTTCTAGAGGATTTTGCCATTTGTGTAGGGGATTTTACACGGCTATGCCGTTGCACCAGCTTTCTGCCCAAATCTCACCCGCTTCAAGTTTCAAACCCGGTGCTTCCCAGCTCCGACTAAAGTCACCAGCATGCATGACGTGAGGCCGAAGTACTTAGGCTGTCTTCTGTCTCCACACTACAAAGAAGGGTCGAGTTGCCATCAGCTCCTTTGCCAGGGCTGTCTGCCCGCGGTGCACCGCGCGGTCCTTGCTGCACACTGGTCCAACTGCCAACCTCTATCTTCAGAGCCCACTCTTGGCGGATGAGCACTCTTTTTTTACAATCAGGAGCCAGCGTCTCAGCATGACATGAAGGTTGACTTTAAGCAGGGCTCCACAGCTTTCATCTTGTTCTTGAGACGGCCCTGGGCTCCAATGCCGAAGACAAAGTCGTCGAGGTTGCAGGTTGCATGGAGCCTCCACCGAATTCCATAAAATGCAGGTTCCGCAGTAGCCACGAATGTCAGGAATGCGGAGCCAGCTTGAAGACTCAATCAGCCTTGGTCCAAAGTAGACAACCTCGCCCGGCTGCTGCACGCAGAACTGAAGTCCAGCTGGCGGGGCCTCCTCTCATGCAGCGCAGCATGCGCAGCTAGACTACAGTCAGACTCTCGGTCAGTTCAGAATTCATGCGATGTGTCTGCCAGCCTTGGCTGCCGAATGCTGCCAACGGCCTAGTTTCTGGACTGCAAGACACCTCTCAGTAGCTAAGTAGAACTTGGTTGAGCAGCCTTTTCCGAAAGCGGCATGAAAGCTGACAATGCAAAAATTAACAGCTCCTCGAGCCACTGGCAAGGGTGGTGCATGTTGGCACGCTCCTCACCTGAGCCGCTCTCCATCTACAAAGCAGCAGAAGCATGTGCACTCAACTGCTCATTCCAAACATCCTGCCTGGCTTCGCAGGGTATGCAACGTTTCTTGCATGCTTGCACGCTGCGCTCACTGCCGCGAAATCGACCCTCTGCTTTTCCAGAATGCTCTGTTCCATTGCGTTAGCTATGGTACATCCGTTGATGATTTGCTCGCCTGCATTCCACAATCATTTTTGCTTTTGACCTTGCTCGTCCCGTTCTCATGCCAGGCACGCTTCCGGGCCGCTGCAAAAACTGCACGAAAACCTTCATGTGTCTGGTCGAGTACAAGTTCCAAAGGCTAAGCGATGCTTGGTCAGCAGCATCCAATGTAATCTATAGCGCGCTGCACAACGTGCGCATGTGAATTGCTTTCACCATGGAGTTGCTAGCGCGACCAGCTGAGCTTGCCAGCACGGTGGTCATTCTCTGACATGCTGTGGTTTGGCCAAGCAGCGCTGGATTTCCTCGGATGGCTGCGATGGAGCGATCCACCAAGCCTGTTCGGAGCAATCAGCGGCAATGCGATTCGAGCACCAGACTTAGAACTAGAACCTCGCTGCCGATCATGCTTGAGAGATTTTGCATTTCATACCGACTGTGGAGAGAAAAGTTGTGAACATGCATATGCATGCTCTGCGCAAGAATGCCACTTCAATGTCAGGACCGCAATGTGGCGAAGAATCCAAATGAGCAGTCAAATACGGAATGAGGACCCGTCCCAAGGCGTGACTCGGCAAAAGTTCTTGGTACAGACATGCAATTGTTTAACAATTTCCGCTGACTCATGCAGAGTTTGTATGAAGGCCGGCCATAAGCTGTCATCCAAACTGAAATGTAGGGGTGTCTTGCGAGATGCTGAACTCTAAACGAAGCCAGGCGCAGGCGTTCAAGGAGAAAGATCTTGGGGCTTTCCACCGCATGCTCACTCTCTCTTTCCCTCACTCACCATCGCAGTGTGCTGAAAGGGTTTGTCGACTCAGCAATGATTCCATCATGGACACTTCTACCTCTGGGGCCTTGCGACCATGCAGCACTGCCAGCCAGGTCTCCTCGTAGGCATCAGGCCCGGTCATCTTAGGTTGGCCGGTTCTTTCCTTTGCACCCCTGAGGAGTTTCCGTCGTCCTCATGGACGTGGAGCTGCGTGCCAGAGGCTTCTGACATTCCAATCTGGACGGTGGGCCTGAGGTCAAAGTCTGCCTTGGTCAGGCGGCTAGGAATCTTCGTAGCAATGGACCTGCAGGCTGCCCGAGTCTGCCCCCAGCCAAGGCTCAGTACATCTCAGTGCAGTCTAACATGCTTCCTTCGCTGCGCACTCATACCAGTACAGTATCTTATGCTGAAGGCACTGCCAAGTTGCCAGCATCTTCGGGCTGATCTCCTCTGTGGCATTGTCAGAGCAGTGCCAGCTGGCGACTGTCGCTGGAGAGCAAATTCCCTGTGAGTTCTGAAGCACGAGCAAGTTGCTTTGGTCTGTTGCTTGCCTCGCCTCAGGACCCCAGAAGGCTGTCGATACCAACTGGTGCGAGTAGCCTGCACACCACTGCGCAACGTCCGTAGAAGTACAGAAGGCAGCAAGCTCCTGAACCGGAAAAGGCAGAAAGCACGTAGCACGTGCGATTTGCAGACTGATGGCCAGAAAGGAGAATGGTGAGAAAAAAATCATACCATGGCTGAAGCACTGGACAGACGGGCGCGATGTTCGCAACGCGTAACTTGAGTCTCAAATTTTCTCCGTACGACTCTCAAGCGCGGGTAGTGGCACCCCAGCCTTTGGCAACCAAGTTCTTTGGCGTTTGGTTCCTCATCTTGACACAAATGTCTGAGCAAAATGCTGCTTACAAACAAATTTGGCTTGAAGATCGAATTGACACATGAAGCATAATCATGCGCAACTGGAAGGTAAGCAAAATCGGGCCTCGCAATCAATACCTTGTGCTAGAATTGTCAGGTCAACAGTTGAGCGCGCCAGCAGTCGAGCTCCCACTGTGCTAAAACACAAAGGTCTGATGGAGTTGTGCGCTTGTTTAACTAGAAGCTTGCGCCTTTGTCTGCAGTTGTAGATGAAACTGCGGGCAAGATTCGCCAGGTGGATGAAGTCCTAGGCGAACAAAGGTACTGGGTGCAGTCGTATCGAATCACAACTCCTTACTCATGACAGTCGTGCCCTGTGCACTCTTCCCACACTTGCCTGCCGCAAACTCCCCTGAACGGCATCACTGACCTTCAAGCGCTCTTGCAGCTGTTTTGTCCAATAGTGCCTGTTGAGCACCGCCAACTGCGAACTGCAAGCATGGCCTAGTGACTTAATGGTCTCTGTCACATCCTGTGATGCCAGGTAGAACGATGCTAGTAAGATGAGTTCCGCACCTCAAGCAGCACTTCCGGCGTTGCTTCTGGGCGATCCCAGCGGCCAGTGCCTACACGGCATGTGGAAGTCTGGCAGGCCATCCTTGATCCCACTCAAATCTGGGATAGCGTGCTTAGAAACTATGACCAATGCTTGTGCAAACGGCATCCGAGCAGCGAACAGAGCCCCTACGCAGAGCAAGCACGTGGTGATATGTTGTGTGTATTGACGAGCGATGATTGCCTTTGACGTCGCCCCACACATGACGGACGGTCTGTTGAGAGAGGACTCGAAGCATCATCATCGGACTATGGAATGTCCATGTCATGCACGGGGCAGCTGCACTAGCCTGGACGAGTCCATGGACAAGTCAAATTTCACAGCAAGCATAAGTCAACCACAAGGCTTCTTAGACACATCTATCCGCCCGGGATTTGTAGCTACGCAGGGAGTCGAGAAAGTGCGCTGGTGTCCTGCGGATCCTGCAGACATTCATGTTGCTGATTTTCCTGCAAATACAGAAGTGCTTCGCCTGAGGGCATAGCAGCATGACATAGCACACAGCCGAAGGCAAGTTCGACGGCAAACGTCCAGTTTAGCAGCGGCGTGTTGGCAAAAGCAAGCAAAAGCCGACAACGCGTGAACGCTAGATTGCAGCGTGAGAAGCAACCATGATCAATTCCTCACTTCCAGGCATTGCAGACTGCAGACCGGTCTCAACTTCAGTTGCAAATTATGCCCAGGAAGCTCAAGATGCAGATCAAGGCTTAACGCAGGATGCCAGGCAACACTTGAGTAGTTTGTGACTGATTTTACATCCTAACGCCTGACGCCCAAACAGCCGGGAAAAGCAAGCAAGGGCTCGCGCACCCCACTTGCACGAAGACGGTATCGACAAGCTTCCCATGCAGCCAAGCCCTTTGGCATCGTGACCGCGATTTGCCCATGTGTCATTATTGATCCAGTGGAGCACAGTACTCTCCAGAATTAGTCACTGAATTTCCGGCCATTTTGTGCTGCTGAGGACCACGCCTGTCTGGACGAAATATTGTCCTGTACGGCATGAACAACAAAGCTCAGCTGCTGCATGAAAAAGCTACGCAACAGGCAAGTAAGTGGAACATAAGGAAGCCAAGCAGGCAGTCCAAAGCGTTCAAGGATTTGTTCTTTGGACCAGCTTGTCGTTGAAAGCCACGGCTCAGTCCTACACCCAGCATGAGGGCCCGTGCGGCCACAGCGAGGTTTGCACAAGTTTGCAAACAAGCATTCTGCAACCAAGAGGCAAGCCCCGTAGAACCAGGCCGCCTTGGCTCCGCGCAGCCAACTTCTGGAACTCCTTCCGACCTCTGCGGCGAGCAGTCATTTGAAAGGCTTATGCGGCATTTGGGGCGCAACTTCGCTCTTGGCAAAAACAAGTAGCCCTGCCCGTGGCGCCATCCAATACTAAGGCTGTTGCTGAGGTTCCGTGCATTGACGGCCGGGAAGTCGCAACGAGAAGCTCCAGTTCGGAGGAAGCGTCGTACAACCTCCACCGGCCGCAAATAATCCTGCAAGCATTTGCAAGAATCTGCAGGCTGCCAAGAATAGTTTGGAGGTGGCTGGGCTGCCGTTGCACAGGCGTCTCGCTAAAGATCAAGTAGCAAACAATCAGGACGAAGCCGGGTTCGTGGCAGGGGCGTATGTCGACAGACAGCAGTACTTGTGCTGAGAGGTGGAACACCAGCGGGATCCTCGTCATCGATGCGCGGGGGGGGCTGCAGCCATGCTGGTTGCACAAGTGCGGCGGCTAGCCATCCGCATAAGGGCATGTGGCCCAGATTGTTATCATTCACATTGATTTGTTGAGAAGCTATTTTCTGCTGCACCTCTCAGGCAGGTCAAAACTATCTGACATACACCTACCGACAAAGCACATCGGCTATCATAGGCTGGAGCACAAATGTCATGGGAGGTGTAGAGAAAGATCGTGCAAAAAGGTCTGCTGACAGTCTTTGCGGTACATGCTTGGCCATGACCACTTGATGGCCTTCCAGCATCCAAATTTTACCAGCTTTCTTGCCCGCCTGCGTCTCCTTCCGCGCATTGCCCTCTGACAAGCTCTCCTGGCATATGTCGCGAAAAGAGTGATGTCCAGTTCAGCCATGCAACCGTGCGGGGTTCTGCCTAGGGATACGAAGGAATGGCTTGACATGTACTGTTGGGCCCATTGATCTCAGGTTCCTTTGAAGGATCCGTGTTTGGGCAGGTGCTTTGAACTCAAGGGAAATGAAGCTGGAGTCATTAGTATCAGATCTACATGTCACCCTGATGACCAGCATCCCGCAGCATCATGCGAACCAAAGAACGCGTTGGAGCGATCCCTGTGAACGCTAGCAGCATGAGCCTTCAAAACGCACCAGCGGGACTCGCACGAAATGGTTTGCTTCGGATTTCTACTTTATCCAATGACATGCAGTTGACCTACAGTAGTCTGCCCTCAGTAGAGAGTCTCGGTGCTTGCTGACAAATTGAAGGCATGCGTGTCCAGAGGTGTCCACCCTGAAAGCTGATCCCCACAATTTCACTCTGTAACACTCTGCTGGATCGCAGCCTAGGCATGCACCAAGCTCAGAATCTGAACATTCCGCAAGAGCACGAGAAATGTCCTTCAGCCGTTCGCTGCCGGCCTTGGGCAATGAGTTTCGTGCGAGCCAAGCGCTTTGAGTCGGCTTTGCAAGCAACACTCGATGAGCTAGAGATGCGAAGGCGTTCAATATCTCTTGAAGCAAGACATCAATGCACACATTCCACGATTTGAGCGCCGTACCAGATCAACGAAAGTAATCTTGCCTGCCAAGCATTCCATCCCACAGCAGCGACATACTATCGCCACTTTTCGCTGCATGCACAACTTGCGAAGCTGCAACCTCCCCTCTCTCCCCACCAAACAACTTGCCGCGCCATGCTCATCTTCAAGGTCACCATAATTTTAAAGCACGGTTGCTACACTCACACGTGGCTGAGGCAGCTGCCATACGTCTTCGCCGGGGCGGCATCAACTGCGATGTCTGCCTTCAAGAGCCCGACTGACGACTGAGGCAATCCCCAAGCGTTGAAGACAACTAAGCTACAGAAGCACCTATTGCCACTGCGCCTCCCTTCGGCGTTTCCTTTCTGAGCAGAGGTTAGGTGAGTATCCTTCAGTGAGATCATCTGTCTGCCTTACAGGAAACAAGAAGTGGGCGGGAAACGCAGCTGTTCGTGCCAGCATTCTCGTTTAGTTTCTCGCCCTCCGAAGGCAAGCGTGAATCTTACTTGCTGCGGCGGCTTGCAAGGAGAAGAGCTGGCTGCCGTTGGTTCAAATTAAGCAGGGTGACCGTTTTGGGAACCGGTACATCATCTCCAGAACATTCGTCACCAGACATGGGGTGCCTGTCTGCTAATCGCACCAGAATGCAGCCCGCTGCGACACCCCATCTTGAAATGGAATACAGTCATTACAGTCAAGTTGCGCTCATTTCACATGTCCTGTACTATACGTAGAGCGCAGGAGGCACATGCAAAGTCTCCGACTCCGAAGGAATGAGATTTAGAAGATAGTAGATAGAATTCTACCTGAAAGCCTCTGATGCTGAAATCGGGCAGTGTGCTTTGACATATCAGCTCAGGAGGAAGAGCATGCAAAGAGGACTGTTTGGGAGTAAGCTTCGTGAATTACAGTGAAGGGAAGATAAGGGAGACCTGCTCTTTTCTGTACATTGAGCTTGAAAGGCAACCAATGCATGCAAGAAATCTTCACAAGGCCCTGTGCGGCAGTGAGATGAAGGCTCAATACAGAACAGAACGTACAAGCAGCTCGCACCACACGCGAATGCATTGAGCCGTCATGTTGGAAACAGGCTTGCGCCTGCTGCTCGGAATCGATGTGGAGGGTAAACCTGAGACTCATGACTGCAGGGTTCGCCATGCGAGTGGGAAACATGAAGAAGCATCTGCCATCCTACATCTGCTTCTCAAACTGCTTCAGGGGCCTAGTATCTGATCTAAGAGCCGAATGAGCCAAGATGGTTGGCTTGCGGACTGTATTTCACGGGATCGCATCCCTGTCCTTTGGAACCATCACTCTGCCTACAGCCAGGCCCGAGGCCCGGGCAGCGCATGGGTTCGCGATGACTCTCGATTCAGCGCGTGCGCGTTAACGCGACGGTTCTGCAAGCCAGCCTGCAGAAGTGGTTGAAGCATGTTGAAGCAGTGGAGGGAGGGTGGAAGGCACACCGATGCCTCCAGAACTGCTCGCACGTCAGCAAGGCTTCGGCACTCAGCCACCTTGGATTTTGAACATGGGGAAACGTGGTGCCACCATCACAAGCAAGCACTCGCATTGCGGCATGGTCTAATGAACTCATCATCCAACACGTTGGTTCCAGCCAACACCGTTGTGCTAACTGATGCTCTGGAATCACAACCTGCGCACCTCTGCAAAGGCCACCAGTCTGGACGACAGCTGAGGCAAGAGCTGCCAAATCACTAATGAAAAAGCCATGTTTCTGGCTGAAACGCACCTGCAGGCGGGAGCCCTCTGACTCTGACCATTACACTTTGGTCCGCAACTGCAACCCCAGACTGAGAGGCAAGCAATTCATGTCAAGCCAAGCATACTCTCGAAGCAACCACGGTGCCTGCAAATGTCCCGCGTCTGGATTGAGCAAGTCGCAGATGCACCTTGGCTGTTTCTGGTTCGGAAGTGCCTCATGTGCCAATGCACGCCTGGATTCGGAGAGTAATTAAGCATTGTCATGCATTTGTCGCGGCTTTCCTTTGGAAACCTGCTGCTTTCAGGTCCCCCGGCTCGTTGACAGCACCAGGCGCGTTGAAAATCTCGGCAAAGGAGGCACCAACCTTGTAGCTCTACGACATCGGCAACCGTTCGGCATTGTTTTTGCTTTCTGCAGGCTATTGAGAACGAACATGCCCTCACAATTTGAAATCTGCTCTGCGCATGGCATGATGGCTGAGTTCTCTACTGAAATTCGGGCACCTCCGGAGCCTTCACCTTTGGCAAAGCATGAAGCACAATAGTTCACAAGGCTCCATGTTGAAGATGTTGCAACTCAAACATGCTGCAAAGAGCAGTATTTCAATCTTATGAAAGGGCCTCGGTTCACAAATTTGGGTCCGAGCGTTTCCTCGGTTTTTTCCGTCTCATTGTGTTGACGTTTTTGTGACCTGTTTCTCAACTTAGAATTCTGGATTCCATCCTCTCAGTCGCAACAACTCTGAAGATTCCATGCAGGCTGCGGTACACTACAGGATACGGGTCTGCACAGGTAGTAGGGCATTAGGCTTCTCTGAGGATGCGTGTGCGTGCATATTGACGTTCACCTTGGTTGGCGCAGTTCATGATGAAGCAAAACTACAACATGCTTTTTTGTTTCTCTTAGCATTCCCCATCGCTTGGAGCACAGCCCGTGAAGTGTGTCCAAATGCATGCGTGCGTTTGCTCCGGTCCTACCAACGTTGCAGATTGCAGCCGTGCAAGGTCCTAAGACTGCTACTTCAAGCAGCATCTTGCCTGCAGTGCTCCGCAGGAGCGAGCAAGCAGGCAGAATTTTCATTAAGAAAAGCATCAAGCATAAGGTCGTGATAGGAGGAGCGATGAGGAGCGCGTATACTGGGGATACAAGGCCAAGCAGTCCCTGAAAACATCTTAAAACCTGCCTATCTGCCGGAAGAGTCGACGGGCTGTCCGGATGACCAAACCATCATTGCGCTTGACCTCCCAGCATGTGATAGGCTACGCGAAGCTAACAGCAGGAAGTTTATCAACAGTCTCCACGGGTTGGCGGCTTGTGTCAAGCAACACGAGCGCTTGCTCGAGCTCTAGTTTTGGCAATTGCCGGCTTGGTGAAGTCAAGATCTAACAGCTGCAGGGCAGAGTGCCTCATCACCACACTCTGATGTCCGGTCAGCTGCGCTCGAACGGCCCATCTGAAGGAGAGCGGACTTTCTGTGATCGTCCAGAACAGCAAGACGGATGCGGTGCATGCTTGCTCAACCAGCCAGGAAGACCATGGTGTATGTCTTGCCGCTTCCAGTTTGCCCGTACGCCAACACAGTGGCCTTGCTCAGACATGAGGTGGCCAGACAGAGCTAAGTAGCTAGCCCACACCCGTTCATTCAGCCCGCGGCCGCATATCCGGAAACTGCTGCGTCCAGCAGGCAGGTCACACCACTTTCCTGAAAAACCTGAAGAACAAAGGCTTCTGGAATTACTTGGAATCATCTGATCAGAGTGGACGATGGCAGGCAAGTCTGTTCATACAGTTTAGTGGTGGGTCCTTCACCTCAACTATCAACAGCCACTTCACTATGCGCTCAGATCGCTGATCATGAAACTGCAGCCCTCCAATCTCCAGCCGCCACCCAGCCTGTTTCTGCGACCTATCCTCCGGAAGGCAGGCATCGAAGGAGTATTTCCGAAAGTGGTTTGCTGCGCCGACCCTGCGCAAGCTTAGCTATCTGAAGCCACACACCAACAAGATTGCAGACTAGTGACTAGCCACTAAACTTAATGGAGGCCGTTCAGGCACGAGCATTCAGGTTCACCACAGTCAGTCAGAGACAGTTTGCTGTCACGGCGAAAGCCGCGGCAAATGCAAGCTTCCCACCTCACCAGGATGGAGCAGTCATCCGAAACCTTGTGCGGCATGGGATCTGCATGGCGTGCCAAGCACTACAAGAATTTCAGGTAGCAATGCGGCAGGCTCTGGGACGAGCTTTGCAAATAAGCACTTAACTGCCGACTTCACAAGCTCGTAGTCTTGATTGGTTGTTGGTTTGTTATACGTGGAGGGCAGCGCGCTGGGTCGCCACATCAAAGAGGTCTCCCTGAAGTCGCTCAAAATCCTCAAAATCTTCTGCAGGGGCGGCCTGGCAGCAGTTCTCGTGCCCGGCTTCAAGCTCTTGCCTGGGTGCTCAGGCTTCCTGTCATTTCCAGAAAGGCTCCAGGGCTTTGACATTAGCAAGCCTGCCTCCACAGCGAGAAGCGTCTTTGTGCTTGGTTGTCAGACAAAGACAAGGTGTCAGCGAATCTAAATCCGAAAACAGCGCTGCAGAACGAGGTTTGCCGTCACCTCTGCCAAACCGGCACGAGCATTGACATTGATAATCTAATACTTGCGGGACGTTTGGTGCGTGCCAGCGACTTAGAAATCAAAAGTTCGACTTCTTTCGGAGAAATTCCGCAACCTATGGAAGTCGGTATCCCTTGTTGGATTGTCTAATGTCTCTGCCCAGGCGCTGCAGAAGTGGACGGACGCGCACCACAGCTCTGACTGAAGAGGACCTGTCACGGGGAGACTTGTGTGCCAAGACATCAAATCAGAGATCACAACCACGGCAGAGTCTACTTGAGGTGCAGGTCAACCTGCACGAGCACGCCATTGGCACTACATGGTACGACTTTCTGGGATTGACGAAGTGATCATCATAGCATCCCCAGCCCCATGCGAAAACTTGCGGACTGCTTTGTAAGCCTGATCGATCGGGCCAGTGACTGACTTGCACAACATCTCTGACGCGCCTGACAGAACTCAGACTGCCCCTCAAAATGTCAGAGCCACGCATCCCGCGGCATGCACGCCCAAGCAGTTATCAGGGCGGAATCCCATGGAAAATCACGGTACCCATGGGAGAATACAGCAAATGGTCGTGCGGTGTTCGATGTTCCGGGATAAGGCTTGAGATCTGCGCGTACAGGGTACAGGGTGCTGGGTTAGAGTATGTTAGAATGGTTGAGTAGTGTTGAGTTTCGGGGGCAGGAAATGCCACCTGAGAGTTGGGATCAGGTGCTGGAGAGTCTTGAGAGATGCAGAGGTCAGGGTTCAGGGTTCGCAAGTAAGATGGCAGGGCAAGGCCAATGAGATCTAATGAGTCAGAATCTCAGCCGCCCCATGCTCCTTACCGCCATCCTAGCCCAGTGTTGCTATGCTCTCCAGGTCCATGCGCATGACGGCTGGCAAAGCACAAGCCAAAATGGCATGCGGGGAGGCATGCTGAAGAAAAGTAATGGCAATTAATTCAGCGTAGACTGGTGGCTTTCACGAGATTATCAACCAAGGCCAGCATCAGCTACAGTGCCACAGGTGCCGCACAATGCCTCAGCAATCAAAGGCACGTGGCGGAGCGCCGCATGGGCTGTGCTATCAACAAGCGATAGGGCGTTTTTTGCGACCGCTGCTCCCATGCAGGGTTGTTCTGCGGTCAGCAATCAAAGCTATGCTCCGGACAGACTCCAGGAAAAGAAATGGTGACGGGAATCCGTGGCTTCCGAGCCACTTGGTACTGCCATTAGATCCAAAGATATGGCAGAAGCTTGCGCAACTCTTGCCTACGTGTATCTCGGAGTCCTTGAAGCTGCTCCTATGATCTCTGCATGCTGCGTTACAGGGATGTAGTGTGTTGGTGCAGAAGGTCTGCGCAGATCTATGATTCCTTGATCTGCCCCTCAACCACCTTCTCGAAGAAATCAGCTTGTTCCTGCGCGGCGCAGCAATTTCACGTTTCAATGTCTGACATCCCCCAATGTTGCTGGTTTGGCGGCTGGCGCATGCCTGATACTTCATGCCTTCGCCTCCAAGGCACAGCTACTACGAGCAAAGTCCTTCAGAGCGGCCTTGTTCTCCTCCTTAGCAGACTTTGCAATGAATGCGCATCCAGTTCATGGCCAGTGGCAGTCGGACACCACCTGTGTTCCGACTTACCAAATCGTGCAACACCTGTTGTGCTGCTTATCATCCATCCATCAATCATGCTGCACCATAGACAGAGTCCTGTCGGGTCTTACAGTGGGTGACCAAGTATGCAATTCTTAGTGCGTGTCGAAACCTGAAGTGACAACTCAGACAAGGCGTGTAAGCGGCAAAGGCCCCTGCACGGTACATTCCGAGGTACTTGTGAGCCTGCTCCGTTGTGTACCTCGTTGTCATGTGTGATCATGTGTGCAAAGCACAGCGAAGGAATGAGAACTGTGAAAACCGGTCGTTTTCCTA